GCAATTTGTCCAGTCCAGGTGCTCAGCCACATCCAATGATTGGCGAACCAGGCTGCGGCTTCCAAGAAAGGGCAGGTCTTTTAGTGGCTCCGTTCCTCTTTGCATCCAACGGGAACTTGACATGCTGATCATGAGCATTCATCAGGTCTGTCAGACGTGTCGAAACGCAAGGATATAGTGACGATGGAACATGTAGCAGCCTGGCAAGACTACAGTACAGTATTTCCACACGGGAGTATGCTATCTACATATATGTTCTATGTTAGTGTGTGGGGTGACCTCTGGCATAAGATGCACTGTAGACAGGTTACAGCACACTAGCTAAGGCAACCACCATAGCTTCTCTGATCAACGACTGGAATGCTTCTCTGGATGACCGGGCGCAAATGGTTCGAGAGTGGAACCATTCCGTGGAGCAGGATTTCAACAAGGGCAAGATCTCCGGCGAGGCTGCGTTGGCCGGGTATGAGCCTATCCCAGAAAATGTTCCCATCCCCACCACAGCATGGGTTAGATGGTGAAAAATGAACACGGTACTGTATGAAAGGCAGGGAACGGTGATGCTCCGGCGGCTGCCACGTACGGAATGTATTTTCTTGTCTGCGCGCATACCTGCAGCGACCTTCCGTACACGTTTGCCTGCTCCACTTCGATTCTTGAAACACAGTTTGTAACGAGACATCTGCCAGCAATTTCTCCACAACTGGTCATAGTTCAAAATCAAGAACTTGTGCACCCCTTCTCCGATATCAGGCTTGCTGTGTGGCGCCTACTGGCCTCCATGTCAGGATGGTTGTAAGGCAACCCAGAGCTCTCCTCTCCGGCGCGCGTCAGCATACATATACAGTACAAAATTGCATAAAAGTACAGCATGGTGGTCACATCTGGTGGATCCAGTCATTTCATGACTGGAGAGACCATGGTGGTGATGATGGAACAACTAATTTCACCAGCGCTCAAGATACAGCGTGCAAAGTGCCTCTCACGCATTTCCACCCACAGAGTCACAGAGTATGTACAGTACTGTGTACATGCCATTGAAATACCATTGTACAGACTGAAAACACAGCACTTACGGTGCAACACAATGCCTTTTACATGCGTCATGTGCTATGTTAGTCATCCATGAGTAAGGCGCAACCTTTCTGAAGAGCATCGTGCTGCACTTTTGTGCGACGCTTGGAGCGGTAGCTTTTCAAAGCAGGGCGGCCTTGATATTCGGAGGACTTGTGATTGAAGAAACGCTTGTGTTGTAATTCATTGAGGAGGAGAGTGAGATGTTACCATGGAGAGTGAAATGTTAACGTATTTATTAACATGGAACACTGGTGTCAGGAGTGCGTGGTTCACATCGCACAACTGTGAGCCACCAAGGCTCCAGCCTGGTGGTTGGTCAACACATGGGCAACCAGTAGATTCAATGCACCAGTCGTTCAGGCAAGAAATCCGCAAGGTTGACTTGGCATCCACAGGCCATTCGTGTGATCTCCGGAACAGAGCACGTTACTTGCCTGATTGAATGCTGTGGTAGACCTGTGTCAACAAAAATCGGTGCGGTAGAGTGTTCTATGTTAAGGTATGGGAGGGTGGGGTAGGCGGTTCTTAGAATGGCCTTACCGGCCTTGCCCAGGTTTTGAGGACTGGGACCTCAAAGCATCTGGGCAAATTGCAGCTTCAGTCAAACCCATGCCGGAGGTTCTGAATCTGACGCTTCAAGCTTGGAACTCCATTCCTTTGAAAGTTTTCCAATCGAGCTGGATCGTCGCGGGATACTTCAATGCAAATCATTTCCCAGCCGTTGACGACTCCCCTGCTGACATGACAGCCGCTCAGAAGGTCCTCGATCCGGCCGGCCTCTTGAACGCATGCTCATTGCCAGGAACCCCTCAATTTTGCGACAAGTTTGAGTGGCAAGTGCAGGACTGCAGATCAAAGCCGTTTTGTGCAGTGTTACTGTAGTGAGCTAGAGTGATCCTTTGATTTCCCTCCCGACCAAGACACGAGTGTACTTTGTTCTATGCTAGTGTTCCTAGTGTACTGTGTTCTATGTTAGGTGAGCTTCCCATGTGTCTCGCCGCTCTGGAGACTACTGTAAAGCATCGGATAGGCCTGAAAGGCTTTCCATCAGCAGGGCTCATAGATACTTCTATGCAGGAACCCACAATTCTCTCTGAGCTTCTCCCACCCACAGGATGAAGCCCAGCCAGATGTGTGGCACCCGCTACCATACGAGATTGCTCACGCTACAGTACGATGCATCACCATGCACGGGAAAGCATATCTCGAGGCCAAGCGGGAGTTGGCTGCGTAAAAAGAGCTTGATCCCAAGCAAAAGAAGTCAAAGACTCTAAAGGCCAAGGCAGCTCTGCAGGACCTTCGCGAGGTGACGCGGTATGCCGTGATGAACCGGCGTACGGGTTGGGTTGCCACTTCGGAATGGTTGAACCACCACGTGAAGATGGAGGAGGGCAAACCATGCCCGAAGGGGAAGGGAAAACTTTGGATTGTCAGTGTGCGCATTCGAGTTGTTGGCCCCTGCATAGACATAGCTATGAGCCCAGCCGATGGAAAGGCATTGAGACCCATCAGATGCTTCAGCATCCAAGACGGGGGGACGAACGCCAAGCTCAGCTCGATCGTTTCCGGATACTCCCACTTGCTCACAGATGATGATTTGGAGAAAGAAACTCATCCGTTGAGTGTGTTGTGTTCTATGTTAGCTTGCACGCTAAGGATCCTTCATACTAATCAATCTCATAGAACAATCACATAGCAACAAGTACAGGTCTCTACAGTAAAGGTTTTATGTTTCCAAGGTGCACAGTAGGGCACAGAAGACCAGTGTACTGTAGTGGAAATGCGCAGCCAAGGAGATCCAAGAAGCAGATGAAGATGCAGGATCCATTGAGTGTGAAGGCAGCGACGGCAAGGACGACATGTGGGATGAAGAGAGCCTCCCCGGCGACGACGCTGGCGTTGCAGGACTGGGGCCATCGCTCGTGGGTTGGAGGCCATCGCTAGTACTGTAGGTTTGGAGGCCATCGCTCGTGGCAGGACTAACATGGCACAAACTAACACGGCGCAAACAAACACAAACTGGAGGACAAGAAGAGGGATACATGATGGCACTTCAAATGGATCCTGCACCTGGGCTTGCCGCTGGCAAAGGCACGGTGGAGAAAGTTTGGGACCCAAAGAAAAAGCGATGCTCCTCACCAATGCACGACACTGAGCCTGGTGCTTCGTCTATGCATGATGATGAGCCGGCTGGAGTGATAGGCGATGAAGTTGATGAATCCAAGTTTGTCACAGCTTGCGGCGCGCTGTCTAAGCAGAAGGGAGCATTTGAAATCAAGCATGTGCCTGCAAGTTTTTGGAAGCGTGAGGCCTTTTCCCAGCTGTCTTCCAAAGGATTGGCGAAGGTGCCACCTGGGGAAGGATGGCAAATCGCTCACCATAGTCAGACTCCCAGACTCAGCAGTGGCACGCGCGTTGCCCGCCAGGGTGGAACTACGCACCCACGTGACGTGGGGTTCCATTCGCTCAGAGCTGAAAGCTCTATGCTCAGCGTTGCAGCAGTTGTGGGATTGGTACATTCAGCAAGGCCCACCGGACGTTGCAGAGGCCAATTTGTATATCGCCCAGCTGGAGGAATTCAGCAACTCACTCAAGTTTTGACCATGAACACTTTTGGCGAACTTTTCCGATGATCTGCAAAGAACAGCGGCGCAGCGGTGCAGCAAGAAAATTGGATACAATGTTCTATGTTAGGACTGTACCGTGTTGATGGTCAATACAGTACTGTTGGCGTCCAGGCGTTTTCAGAATTCACTCACAGGAACTTGCGCTGATGTCCTGACCTGAACCAACAGGGTCTCGCCCCTGTTCCATGTTAACATGCTCCATTTCTCCATGTCCACATCATATGAAAATGTGCATTTCTGTTTGCACTTTTCAACCATTCAACCACTGTTCTACGTTGTTCTATGTTAGGACTGTTCCGTGTTGGTGGTCAATACTGTACTGTTGGCGCCCAGGCGTTTTCAGAATTCGCTCACAGGCACCTGCGCTGATGTCCTGACCTGGACCACAAGGGTCTCGCCCCTGTTCCATGTTAACATGCTCCATTGCTCCATTTCCGCATTAATTTGCTTCGGTCAATCAAACCCAATGTGTATGTGTGGCATACAGGGGCGCAGGTTGCAGTTGACACGCGCTTGCTAATGTCCTAGTAGCGGTTGCTCCTGCTAGCTGCTGATGAACATGTTTTCCCAAAAGCCTACTGTAAAGATGTTCTTTTTTCGGTTTGACAGCTTGCCCAAACTTTAGATGGAACCACAACAAAATGGTGTGCAGGACAGCCGTGAGTTAAAGCCGCGAGCGACACATACAACAGCACAGGGAGGGGAAAAAAACCAGCTTGGGAGGGGTGCTGAGGTTCATCTTGAGATGAATCAATTGGAGCCGGAGATTGTTCAGCCACAGGTCTATGTTAGAATAGGACTGAGCACCTGCACATGTGCTATGTTAGTTTACAAGCTTGGGAAATCCCAGGGGTTGTTGGATGCTTCGAGTCTAACATGGAACATTTCAATATCAAACACATAGCTGCTTGTTGGCCATCAGGCATATTCTATGTTAGCATCTGCGGTTCCGCTGCAGAACCTGGCCATGCTTACTTGAGAGTGTTCTATGTTAGTCTCCAAAAACCACATAGCCTCGACCACATAGTCTCAACCGGTGCTTTCCTATTTCCCCAGGAGGTCACCGTTGCAGGTGTACCATGTTAATGAGCACTAACTTTGAGACCCGTGTTCTATGGAAGATTTCCCGGGAGTAAGGGGTGTAGCGCTTGACTATAGCCAATATATAATCCAACATAACTATAGTGGCACTATGAAATACTTGATGTTAAACTTCTCATGACTCGAAATTGTTGCATGACCCACTTTGAGACTCCCGACAACCTCTTCTTCGCTTGCCAGTCGTTTCTTTCCTAGGCTTGGCTCCGGCAGAGGCTAGAGGGGCACAAGACGGGTGATGAGGTCAACCGAACACTGGGAGTTTGGGAGAATTGTTTTTGTTGCATCTCGTCGCCCTCAAATAAGAGACAATGCACATGGAAGGATGGCCCCAAGCAGGAGACATTGGCAAAAAAGTGCAAACATTTGTTGTCTATGACCAGTGGTGTCGTCGGCCTTGGAATTGGAATGGTCCTCAGTCCTCATCCCTCATTTCTTTTAGGCGTGACGTCACTTATTCATGGGTTATACACTGACTGAAAGTGACGCCGTCAAAAAAATACAGGAAGCCTAGATGGGACTTTGATGAAAGAAAGATTGCAAGAGGCTCCCAATGAATTCACCCGTTGGCCAGGTGCTGCCCATCTTGGAGACACATGGAGACACCATTCACCCATGGAGGTTCTGTTATTGGTTGGTGTTGGATAATCCAATGCCGGTTTCTCGTTTGCTTTGGGATTTCTATCACCAGAACATGCGAATCTCAGCGAAACGCATGCAATTGTTTTGACTAATTATCCTGAAGGGGATCCTCGTTTTGGGGGAGATTGCCAGAGCTTGGCCAAATACCTCCGAAAACATAGTTCCAGCATGTGGTAATGTAACAACCTGAGGATTCTCCACATCTATCACGTATCCACAGATGCAAACTCCATGCATATGGTTGGTTTCAATTTGTAAGAATCTCATGCCTGGATAGGCAGGCCCACTTTCCTTTGCTCTTTGGTCTATCTATCCTTGTTCCGAAGCTGGGACGTTCCACACTCCGCTCCGGTGCTCCATCCGGTGAGGTGCTGGACGCTGGAACGGTGCGCTTGCATTCCTCCAATCCGGAGGTGAGGAACTGGGCGATCGGGCGGCGATGTCGCCATAACCATGGAGATTCGATCTGTTTTTTGTTTTTTTTAAATTCAACGATGGCTTAAAAGTGGACTTATATATAGTTTTCCAAGGCACTGATGTTGATCTCCATTGGGCACCCCTTGTACCTTTCGGGATGAGGTTCATATGATCAACAAAAAGGACCTTAGGTGTTACTCGTGCTTGTTGTGCAAGACCATGTGGGGATTTGCAGACTTGTTTAAGGTGCTGATTTCTGATTCAAGAATCCGAAATCTCCGATGGCTTCCCTTCCCGCGGATGTGAACACCGCCACAACTCAGCCATGTCAATATTAGCCAATATTGGTTTTAAGTGTTGACACTCACACAGCTGGCTAATATTGACTAAGATACTCACACATCTGTTTTTAGGATTAGCCAATTGACACTCTTCTGCTGGGATCCTGGGACGACCGTCACTCTTCATCTCAATCACAGAACCTCGATCGAAGAACCGCACCCGATCTCAGGCAGTCCAGGTGCAGCAGAGTGCGGAGGCACACGGAAGAGAGTATGGCTGATATGGCACATGATTCACGCAGCTATTAATTTGCCATGTACTGAAAGAAGAGCTCTTTGACCATGTCGCAGTCTTTGCATATTCCTTTGAATTTTGAGTTTTACCATCTGAAGGATTCCTGAATGAATCAAAGCAGGAAGACTAAGCGAGTCCAGATACCTATCACAAATGTCCACATTCGCTCACCAGTGGAGTTTTTTCCCCTTTCTCGGGCTTGCTGGCCTGACCTTGACAAGCGCAGGTGGATCCACGCTATGGTGTGAAGTTCCAAGTACTCATCACCTCCATGCAGGCGAACCCCGAACCCCCTCGCTACGTACTCGAGTTTCGCGAGAGGCAGTAGATTTCTTTGGCCAGAGTTTTTTTCCGAAGATCCATCATTGAGAGTTTGGTTTGGGAAGATCCATCATTTTCCGCTTTGGTGTAGCAAGTGGCCTGGGGAACTTTGGACTGAACTTCAAAGGACAAGGCCGCAGAGTGTTTTGACATGATCCTTTCAGTTTTGCCACACACAAGGCTCCAACTTCCCCCGTTGCTGTACTTGCAACGCACGAAGTCCACGCTGGGAATCTGGAACCCAGGCAGCACTCGAAAAGGGATCTATTTTCAAATGCCGATCAGTTGAAAGAATTCCAGAGGGGGTGAACGTCCATATTCCATCAGATGTCCCATCTTAGCAACGATTGTATATATATATATATACTTCTTTGCAGTCCCATCATGAACTCGGAGGCTAACAACCACTCGACACTCCACTTCTTCCGCTCCTCTCGACGCTTTCTCGCGACGCTTTACGCAGAGGTGGGTACCAAGAGCTGCCGTCTCCATGCGGTGGACCCGGCGGTGAAGCGCCTCGTGGCGGCCGAGACCTCAGACGTGGACCCGGCTACCGAGGAGACCGGGTGAAGCAGCACCCACCCGTTGAGTGGGAGAGGCGTCGGAGTCTTTGGAAGTTCATGAGCGGCTAGGGACTTCGTGTCGGTCAAGGGATTCTTTTGGATCAAAGTCAAGGGATGTGAGGGAATGTGGTGTGTTCGTTCTTGACGTTTGATGACTGACATGAATATGACAGGAAGTGATTCAAGAGGGATTTTATATGGGATTTGTTTCGTGAGTCAGATTGAAAAGGTTGGGCTGACTCGTGACTCAATGACTGAAACACCCTGAAACACCCGTGCTCCTAGCAAAAGGATCTAGGACCTATATAGGTATCAGTTGATGAAGACCAGTTTTGGTGATGCAATGATGCTGGCACCCTCATTATATACACCACTTTACATGTTGTATCATGTTGAACTCACTGTAGTGGGGTAACAGCAAATCATGAGTTCATAAACCTCGGAATGACACAACGAAGCTGCAGAAGGCACGCCGCCTCGGGAATTGGAAGGGTGCCAGCAGCCTTTGTGCTATAGAATGACTTTGGTAGAAAGTACGTGGTTGCAGCAAGAGTATTGATATTTTTATATATAAGGACCACAACAAGCTGGGCCAAGAATGAAGGCCAGCCCCGCCAAGATCATATACTTTGGGACTCCCAGACATTCCCAGGTAGGTTGACCAGGTGACCCGATCGGAAACTTCCTTTGCTTCAATGGGGAAAAACATAGTCTTTGGAGTCAAGATGCACATGGAGATATGCTGGAATGTGTGGTGTCTTCCCGCGTTCCCGAACGCAAGTATGGCGGACCCATGAGGAGAGACCGGAGGAGCGGTGGACCGAACGGTACCGATCGAAGCTGGTGACGTTGAGGCCATGCTGATTGTGATTGCCGCGGACCCTCCGGAGATTAAGGCTGGAGAAGAAGCAGGTGAGCCCAGGTGTGCCCCGCAAGGTTTCTGGTCGAAAGAATGTCAACCATTTGATGTTATACTGTATGCATGTACCGTACACCTGCTTTCATGAACCCAGGCAGTTTACAGTTCGATGGTCAAAGGCTCATGAACATCATGAACCCTTTGTTATTGCTTCCAAGAACCCCCCTTATTTTGTTTGATTGTTCTGTAGACGTTGCATTCTTTCAACTGAAAGCTTAGACTTTGACCCCTCACGAATCCTCGGTCTGTGGGGCGGGTTAAAAGTGGCTTTGTGGTTTGTTTGTTCGCCTTCGAAGTCGGCCCAGGTAGGGCCTAAGATTGGAAAGGAATGCACGGAACACATGGGCCATCGACTGGTCATCTCCTCCTTGTCAATCGAAGGTGTCGGGATCTGACGCTTTGGAACAAAAACACAAAGCCTTTGACAAACAAGCTCAGATGTGCCTGTGTTTTGTGTTCAAGGTGCCGATGGTGTGGCAATATAGTCGTTGGGCCACGACAGTGGGGGCTCGGCTTCCGAACCTCGTCCGTTGGTTCGCCAGATGATCCACAACATCTCACTCCCAGTCGGGAAGCCCATGGGATGTCACTGATTACATGTATTATATATAACCCAAACGCTCCATGAGACTGCCATATATGCCGTGCAGTTGGGGTGGTTTGGGGGGGTCAATGTAGTACCCAGACACTCCATGTATCGAAAATATATGCCTACGCTGATCCCCCGAACCACCCCAACTGCTCGGCAAATATGGCAGGGTGATGGAGTGTTTTGGGTCATGAAAACCTGTTGGAACATAAAGACGACAGCATTTGTCAGGGGTGGATGATTTTGGGTGAGATGATGGTGTCATGGTAACGCTGATCGAGTGTCTACTTTTGAGAACAGATATCGGAGGGAAGCGGTCCAGGAAAGTATATGAAGACTTCCCAGCACCACCCACTTCGAGTGGTTTATAGACCACCCACTACCATGTGTTTACCATCCAAGAAACATCCTTTATAATAGGCGGTTGAGGTCGATTACATTCTATTTTGTTTGGTCACCTACCAAACTTTGGTGTGCAACAAAAATGCAGCCGCTGAGTTTGAAGTACAATCATTAAGAAAGCATGGCTGCGGGTTTCGGGCATTCGTGTATTTTCTCATTGCAATTGGCTAGGAATTCACGTCAATTTGAGACAGGAACCTCTCATGGTTCGACGATCTTGATGAAATCCCACTTGTTTGCACCATTCAATCCCTTATTTGATTATAGCAAGTTGATTCTTTGTTGGAGAGGGTGAGCATAAGCCATTGGTAGGGTTACCTTTGTCATGCCAAAATTGGTACTCACTAGCCGCAGCTTGTTTTCATTTGGCACGATTTGATTCCAGCCGCCCAGATGACTACGCTCAGACTAGCCTAACGAGACAAGGGAGGGCATATGGTTTCTAATTTGATAGTTTGATGGTGCAAGAGTGCAGCTGATCCTCAGCCCAAGATTTTTGATGGACTCGTTTTCATTTTGAACCGCCCTGCATGGACCACCGTTTTTTTGTTTTTTCCACGGAACCTCAATGCACCACTGTCTATCAAACCTAGAGAAACAGGTACACACCACCGCTTTGAATTACGGTCATGGCTCAGAAGGTAACACCTGTTGCAAGTACTGATGCCAAGGGTCAAGGGTTGTGTGAGCCCTTGGTTTTTCATTCTCTTCCCACCGAACCATGCGGTCAGAGGTGCTCACTGCAGTTCGAAAGCGTTTGCTCTACAAAAATGAGGCTTGACAAAGCAAACGGAGTGTGCGGAGCTTCGAACGGCATTGATGAGTGTAGCTGTCGGTCCGTTCTCCACAGATTTTGAGGACGTTGACAGGTTTCTTCTTTTGGACCGTGTTGGTCGGGCACGAGAGACCCCTTGAGACCAAGCCATTCTTTTGGGGGTCTCGTTTCTGCTGCCGCGGGTCACGTGTCCGTTCTTCGAAACAAAACGAAGCGACGAAGCAACGTTTGCGTCCGTTCGGTTTGAGTCACTCGCCCCACAGGTGTTTTCCGTCGAGGGATGCCCAAAAAGACCACATGGAGGAGAACATCATGCGGAAAATGACCTAAAAAAAAACATGGGTCCCGTTCACCTCCTGTGGTTTTTCTTAACTTTAGGTCATGCATGTAGACTTTTGATGAACCCCCCCCCTTGATGTGGATGTGTTTTCTTTAATCAACAGACGCGGTCCCATTCTTTTTCCGGACTGCCCCCGAAGCACCGGCGATCCGATCCTCCGGAGCACGACGAGCACGACGTGAGCACCCGCAGGCGGTGAGGCCGCTCAAGTGACCTGGGGGGAGGGCGACCCGTTGGGCGGGGAGACCTGTTTGGTTGGATCCAGTTGGTGTGAAACGTGTGTTGAGCACCCTGGCACCAAAAAGTGAACCAGAAAGAAAGCATACTGTAGAGTGGCCAAGAGGTCAAGTTTGCATTGGTGACTTCTGCTTTTGGACAGAATGTATGGTGGGTCCCTGCAAAACCTCCGAGGATGTTTGTAGGCGTTGTTCATTTTTGTCCAGGGATTTCAGGTTGGTGACCACTTGAAGCGCCATGCACCCCCGGAGCCGCTCCTTTGGTGAGCGGCTGCGGCTGAAAATCCCTCGCCTCCGTGTCGATGATGGGCTCCAGGTGATCAAGTTGGGAACCTCCAGACAATACAATACAGGCCTGGTCTAGTGTGAATTCAATCTCCTGTTTGGCCTTTGAAGTATATAAGCCTCCCGAAGATTAACATGGAACGGCGCAGATCGCCAGTTGTAGGTTCCAAGAGCTTCCTTGAGAGGTGTTTATCGTCAGTTTTGCTCAACATAACCCGCAAATCACCTCGTTTCGGGGCCCACCTCGGGGGCCCCGGCCCTCGATAGGTACAGCATCCGCTGCTCGGAGCCGGCGCTGGTGTCGGTCCAGCCGGGGGCGCCGGAGAAGCGAGAAGGCATTGGAGATGTGGTAGATCCATTGGAATCCATGTATAAACCTAGTAGCTTCTTGTTACTAGTAGCAAATTAGCATAAATTAGCTACTACAAGCCATGTCCTTGCTCTGTTCGTAGCGATGCCCTTTGTTAGCCGGGAGCTACTATAAGCTTCTTCCTCCTTCAGCAGATACGTTGCGCATTCCAAGCGACTCAATGTCACCAGTGTGCAGATCAGCCGACGCTTGATCACATGCATAGGTACCCTCATTGCAACCCCGACCTTTCAGCTGTGTGTGTGGTACGTTTGTACTTGTTGCGCTGAAGGTAGGGAATGTGTTTCAATTCCGTAATATACAATACAGTTATAGTTATAGGCAGTCGTATAGTGATGCACTTGGAACTTGAAGAATGGACTTCAAGAAGCGCAGGTTGTTATAGCCCTGTTTTATTTGAAGGGGACATACATCTATACATTCATGAGTAAAGTTAAGCATGGTGGTC